AAGACAACCATATCTTGGGTCTATCCTATTACCTGGGCCCAGTGGATGATGATTGATGATGGGGCCTGGTTGCAGGCCGACTGTTCAAAAAGAGCGTTGCTTGTTACTGACTGCTACACTGCTACAGGTAATAGGACAGTCGACCCAAACAATATATATATATATAATTACTCCAAAGTCAAAGGACGTTGACTCAACATGAACAAACTGATTCAACGATTCAAAGATCAACTGCGACTCACTGGCATGGGGCTGCTTCTCAGATGCGCTTTTTGAGACCATCAGATGCACCAAAAAAAAGCACCGACACCGGCGCAGGCAGTGGGGGCCATTCATTTCTTGGACACCGGAAACCCAGTCCAAACCAGAAGCAGGTTTTTCCCATAGCAATCTCAAGATTACTCAAGATCCTTTGACACAACAAGTGGCTGGGGCTGGGGAAACATCCAGTTCTTTCCGGTTGGGTGCCTTAAATGTGACGTCCGCTGGCTCCGTTCGGTTCGACCAACCCTTGCTCCCTTCGGTTTTTCGATGCCCAACCGGTCTCCCGGAACCGCTTTCGGCCTTCGCCGCAGTAGGAAGCTGACCAGCTCGTCGCACCCCGCCTCAGTGCGAGCTGGGCGGCAAGGACGCTATCCGAGGCGAACGGATGCGGCTCGGATGCGACGTTTGGGGTGACCCTGGCCTTACTACGAACGGAGCAAGAAACTACAAACGGAACAAAGGGCATCGCTACGAAGGGAGCAAGAAGCTATACTATAGTACAAGTAGCTCCTGGCATTTACACAGTACTAGTAACAAGAAGCTACTAGGTCTTGTGGTCTCCTTTTCCCACAAACACATGGAACATCGTGGAACTCAAGAAAAACAACCTGGCAACATGGCCGAATGTTTCACATCCAAAGAGTGCCTAGTTATGATTTGATGATGTTCTGCCTGTTACACACATCCTGATAGTTCTTAAAAACTTCAATGAACAATACAGAACAACAATCCCAAGAGCTCTCTGACATTCAATCACGCAAAAGGCGCACAGCTCCACGGCCAAGAGGCACCCAAAACCCCAAAGCCATGCCAACAAAAAACAAAAAAGTAAAATTTGTTTAAAAAAAAACTCCAACGCAGGGGTGGCCGGGATGGCCCCGAATGTGCACGTCCAAAAACCACAACGCCAACAATCAAACCTTTCGGCCAATGGCTGGCCACAATGTCTATCCATGTCTCAAGTTGATGCGATGGCATCTCTTCACCTGGGGCGCTAGCACAGGGCGAACGCACATCTGCGCAGGAAACAACCCCGCAAGGGCCCCCCCAACCCAGCAAGCCCAGTCCAGGACAGAGCGACCTCGAGTGGCGCGCGGTCTTAAATGGTATGGCCGGAAGACACCACATGACATCTGCTACACCTTGTGTTGAAGAGCATGCCCTAAGAAAGTCCCTTAAACATCTTAAACTGGCCAGTACATGTCGAACATGATTGAAGTACATTGATGTGATTCAGCGCGCGCCATCTGCGAGACGCCCAAAAGCCGCCTGCAGAGTCCCGCTGCTCAGGGGAAGCCTTCCGATGCATCAGCCACTTCAGCACCTGGGCAAGACTGCTTGACAAGTGCTCGAAGCTGGAAAAATGCATTAGCTTCCAAGGAAAAGGTAAAAACAAAACACATACAATGTGCATTATGATATTAATAAGTATTATGTATTGATGTGTTCCTCTATGTTCCTCTTCTTATAAATAAGTTCATGGCTTTTCCCCAAACAATCGAAAGCAAACCCAATCCATACGTTCTCACCAACAGGCAAAACGACATGTCACTGCCATCGACCAGCTCAACGAATGGCCCATCTCAACGAATGCTGACTGCTGTTCAACCCAAGGTGAGTCTTCATCTCCTTCATCTCGTTCCGTCCCAAATTGAGTCAACAAACATGTAACATATGGATAAATCCCATCAAACCGGCACACATATCTATCCCACACACGGTACGTCTACGGGACGGCTAGCGGCGTTCGCGGTGTTCCTCCCCACAACCAACAGAAACCTGTCGAGTCGACCATGTAGACGTTGATTCTGCATAAATTACGTGTGAAAACAAAAACCAAGTCTTCAAAGCTGGGGGGGACGGCACTTCGAAAAAACATGTAAAGCATTCTAAAACTATAAAAAGAACCGTCTAGTCTAGCCCTCCGCTCGCCTGGCTCTAAACGCCCGGAAACCGCTCCAGTCCGCGCCTGCACAGGTCCTTTCGCGGGATTGGCATAGACGCCCCGGGCGGACCAACTCATGAGCTCGGTGCCTGGCGCATTCGCGCATTCGCCGCATTCGCGCGAGCCAGCACGCTCCACCGAGTGGTTTTGGCTGAAGCTTGCGTGCGTGACTCGAGGGAGTGGAAATGGATTGGGAGTTGTTGGAGTCTGAACATGAACGAATTTGGGAGAGAAGTTGGGAAAGAAACTGATGGATTGACCAGAGAGGACCTTGTTTTCTGGATTTGGGAAAAAAGCGCAAACGGATTTGAAGCAAGTAAACATGTGCATTCGGTGGTGTTAATGAGGACAACATTTCTCATTCTCACTTCAGGCTGATCGACATGGACACGTGCAAGGTGACGGCGCTGACATCTCCGAATTGGTTGGACGCGGGATCACCTCCGGCCTTGTGTGGAGGTCACATTGAAATCTTTGCATCCTTGAGAAAGAACTTGCAACAGCCTGGGCGCGGTGTGGCGTTCTTGGAGTGATGAGATATCCTGGAGTGATCACTAGGCTGGTTGGGGATGATCCATATTGACAAGCGCTGGATGTGTTCGCTTCAAGCGCTGGCCCACGTCCCCTAAAGCTGTCCCTCCACAAGTATCCACTTGAGTCTGAGGCGGCATCGATTCCCCTGGACATCTGTCCAGGCGGCTCTGCGTCCGTGGCGCTGAGGCCCGGGCTCCACAGATCCCACCCAGGCCGCCAAGGGCAAGGACCTGAGGTCGTCCGCGTCGTCCTCGTCCGGTCCGGTTTTGCGGATCTTTTCGTGTGGATCATGTGGCGGAAGCGAACGCGAAGGAGATGAAATGGAGGCAACGGAGTCAAGTGACCATCAACTGAGAATATGACAGAATATGTATGTTTGTTTGATGTGGGCTATCATGAAGTTCATCACAATTCATGGTGGCCAATAATGGGGCCATGTCGACGATCCAAGACCGGTGTCTTTCCAAATGCTTCTGGCGTCAGTTCTTGGACCTTCTTGGCGGCAAACCTGTTCTTGGCGGCAACCGAGTGCCCACACGAACGATGGACTGGGAAGCCCATGGCCAAGAGCACGTGGAGGGTGGCGGCGAAGAACTTGAAGACCTCCAGCAGTTCCGCACAAAGAACTAATCAACCGTTCATACAAGTGAGTCAGTTGAAAATACAAACATGGGATGGTGAACTGAGAAGAGCAAAAACTAGATTGTCCCTGTTGGTGGAATGAAACAGCTTCACGCGCACCAGCCAAAAAAGTAGAGTACGGTATAGAGATGAATTGAGCAAAAGTCCAGTACGCTTCCTCAGGCTCCAAGCCGCAGGTCCTTTCATTGTTCTTTTTTGAACCCAACTCCCAAGCATCCTCCATAGTCACCATGGAAATTCACATCCCATCACCTTTCAACAAGGGCCTCCCCATTGCACCACATGGATCCACTTGGTGCCTACGGTGTGTTCAGTTGGCAGCTGTGATAGATCTGAGGGTTTCCAGGGATCAACCAGGACTCCAGTCTAGCACCTACTAGGACCTTTCGAAAGAGTGTCAATGTCAAGAAGGACCACTAGGCCACTAGGCCTGTCACACGCATTGGTGTAAGGATCACACATCCTTTTAGAAACCATTGCCATCATGCTAAGCTTGGAAGGTCTTCCTCACGACCCAACTATCTGTGGCTTGCAACTTGCCAACTGTTCTTCCTCAATCCCAATCATCCATGCTTCATCATGATTCCATGCTGCTACAGGACTGAGACAACTCACCTACCAAATCCATATCTTTTCTTGCAACCCGGTGAAAGAGGCACCGCATCTATCGATGCACCGGCGACCGAGCTCGCCACCGCGACCGAGCTCCTGCCTCCGAGGGGTCTGCATGATCGCCTCGCTGCCCTTGAAGCCTCGGAAAGTTCCAAGGGCCGGTTTGCAGGTGAAATCACGTTGAAATATGTTGAAATCACACATTTCTTGACTTACTACTTATATCTACTTATCACTTACTTACTGTACATGGACATGGAACATGTTTGAACATCATTGAACATGGAGAAAATGCAGGAAGAGTTGATGAACATCACTGAACGCCAGTGGTTTTGAGGGTCTCTTGAGCTGCGACATCTCCAAGTCACGGATGGAGTTGAGAGGCCGACATCCGAGTGAGTCCTTTCCTGTCCCGCCCAACCCATTGGAAGTACCTGAGCCAGTACCCTGAGCCATCCTGAGCCAGTACCCACAGGGTTCCTGTCTCACCCAGCTCGCCATTGGCACCAGCTCGCCAGTGCTGGGGCCTCCAGGCCGATCATAGAGCGCACGGCGCCCCAGCAGAACGGCCAGCCTTGGGGGGGATCGGATCGGCGCCAAAACCAAGCAAGGTCTTGCGGGTCGGGCCCACAAAGGCAGTTGGGGTGGGTTTTGCAGAAGTGAGAGCGACAGATGTTAGTGAGTGCGACAGCATCAACCGGATGATTGGGACAGTCAAAAAATCTTCGGTGTTGACAGGTGTCAGCGTCTGCTACCCCTGGTGACAATACGCAGTGGCAAGCTTCCTTTTGGGCCGACAAACCAGTGCTGCTAAGAAAACCCTCAGCACGATCTGACGATCTGACGGATCAGCCTGCGCGCTGCATCAGCGCACGGACGCCCCTTGAACTGGTGCCCCCGCTGGAACTCTGAAGGTATTTTAAAGAACAACGTCAGGATGGTCATAGAAATCCAATGGAACTCCTGAAGAGATGATCGAAGAGCTAAACAATCTGAGTCCTTTTCATTGATTCTTCGAGTCCCAGCGGTCCCGAACGCCGCTGAAGGCGCGAGTCGGGCGTCTCGCGGACCGGGCAATCACATCACGACTTCTCGGCTTCGGCGACCTGATGCTCTACGTACCTGGCCAGCTTTCCGAAATGTTTGTTTTTTATTCTACCAACCCATGCCGAACTGATTGAACACTTAGTATATATATATATTATATATATTAGACATTATAGATGAGACGATATGATGTAATTACGTAGACGCTTGATGAAAACATATGAAAAAAACATCAGTAAGTAAAAACTCCCAAATGGAAAGGGTTTTAGAAATTCATGTCTGGTTTGAGTCAAGATCCGCTGCACAGCTCGCATTCCGAGGAGCACAGAAACCCATGTCACCCACATTTGTGTAGGATATGTACGCACAAAAAAAAACTCACCTGGCCTTTGATAGAGCTCCTCAGGAGCCAAATGACCCAGCTGTCGTTGCTCCGCGAAGGTGGCAATCTCCCTGATCTGCGCATCATCCCAACCTCTTTCAGAGCCATTTCCTCAACTCAAAAAAACACACGAAAGGTGACTTGTGGAACCTGCCCTCCTTACACTAAGGCATCTCGTACAGTAAGCACCTCAATATGTGATGACAAGTTGGTAATGGTTTCATCAAAATCGATGGTAATCCGGATGGTATGAGTATAGGGGGTATTGGATTGGTTTGTTTTCTTCGTCTCAACAACACGAGTCTCAACAACACCTCATGGCTGTTATAGGGCCATACCTTTTTTGGGGGTGGGGGGCCTGTTTAATCGTCCCTCATGAATGATTCCATGATTCATCCAATCCAAGATCATCCAAGTCTCCAATTGGGATGGTTTCCAGCCACTTCCTGATCTTACTTTCCGCATCCTGCAAGCTCATCAGGCTCATGTGATCATCCACGGCGGTCAGGAGCGTGCTCATTTTGTTTGGGAAATCGACCGCTGTGCATTTACTAAATCTTTATTAAACACAAAGCACACGGTTCGATGGAGTTTGGGTGATTTGCGTGATTCGCGATTGTGTGTATTTTCAGAAGAGGTTTCACGGTTCAAAAACAACCAGTCACTACTGGCGGCAACTGGCGGCAATGCGACCAACTCTCAGGGCAACCATTTTGTAGGTCCTATTTTTAGATTGAATTGCAACAAGCAGGATCTGGAAGAAGAGTGAAATACAAACTGTAAGTGCATCACACGGGCTCGAGACGGAGAAGAAAACCAAAATCAGTACAAAGTGGCGCTTTACAAAATGTAAGTGCCAAGAATGCACCATACAAACCACCTGTACTCTAACTTCTAAGGATTCTAAGGGCCTGGAGGCTAGAGGAATCCCATTTCCTTAAGGGACATGATATGATGTCTTTCTGTGTAATTATCAACACTGATTCAACATCGCTCAATGCCATCCACCCAAACATCTTCCTTCTTTCCACCGCCCGGGCCCCTTCCCCCGGTCCGCTTGTGGAGGAGTCACCATGCGCCCAGTCACCATGCGCCCCAGCGACACGCTCCGTGCGGCCGCGGCCGCAGCGGACGGTGGGGCGGGCGGCGACCAACGGCCCCCCAAAGTGCGCGGAGTGCCTCAGGTTGGTGTGAGAGGTACCTAGCTGGTCAACCCCCCCAAACATGGATTGTCAAAACCTCTTCATTGATTGGGAGGGTTGGATAATCAAGAGTCGAGTCTAGTGCACAATACTTAGCCTTCTAATTAGCCAACACCACCACCAGCATTGTTCTCGATTGTTTTCTGGAACCTCACATTGCTCCAAGTTAGCTTGATTCCTCATAATGATTCCACAGCGCTATGAATGATGTCACCCATCATGAATCAAGGGCTTTTCACAGATGAACACCTCTTGAAATGCACGGCAGGCTCTGGAATCACATGAATCACATGGAAAAACAATTGTTAAAACATGCAAAAATTCAACATATAATTATAAGCAAATCTGAAACGCTTTGGCAGTTGCTCGTAATGACCAAACATCTGGAAAACAAAAAACTTTAAACAAAAGAAGAAGCAACACAGCAGTTAGAATGCATATGAATGCATGAAAGCATGTTAGCTTCCATGAAATCCTATGTAAAACCCATGGCCTCCACTGAGATGTCGGCTCGCGTTCTGCGCCAAGGACTCGAAGCTGGGCGCCAGCAGCGCAGGCGCCACCGGCAGCGCCATCGGCGTGCTGAGCGGCGCACCCAGCGGCGCGCCGAGCGCGCCGCCGGGCGTCAGTGGCGTGGTGAAGCCGCTGGGAATGAAGAGCCCTGGTGGGGGGGTGAGGCCCATGGTACCCATGGAGCCTCAGTTGGCAGCGCTGAAGTCGATGTTGAGTCCATGAAGTCATCATGAAGTCCATAGAATTTCTGAAAGAGATGTCTTTCAAACAAACTCATGTAAGGCATAAGGTCCTCAGCTGTTGAAACTGATTGACACCTTGCCCATGGTAGACCTGAATCCCCAACAGTATCCCTGTCACATCCACCCCTTCCAATGCCCAGCTACTCCCGGGAGACCGTGTGCGCGAGGTGGCCGCCGGCGTGGTGGAGCGCGACGAGGGCGGCGCGCGAATCAACGGCGCGGCGACCGGGGTGAACTGCTGCGGATGGCCTCGGCGGAAGGCGCAGAAGATGGTGGATAGCTATGGTGGATCGGTGGTTTGGCAAGGGGTCGGGAGTTGCTGGATGGTTGAAAGGAGTGGAAGGGAAGGGATATGAGATGAAATCTGTGGACGCAAATTGGACAGTGAATTTATGATCATTATTATTCATCTAAGATTCATCGGATGTATTCGGATGTGCAGTGAAGTGCAAACCGCCCAGACCGTGCTTCCAACAAAACGTGAAACAATTCAATTCATGGCTCCTCTTAGGTCTTTATGTCTTTCATGGCTCCTCTCCTACCAAACCGCTGCCCGGTGTCCACCGGCCGTTGAAGGACTCCGCTGGCGCGCTGCGTCCAGCAGGCTTCGGGCCACCGCTTTGACGGAGGCCTGGCTTTGCTGGGGAGAAGGATGAGCAGGCCGACATGAAGGGACACCCACCCAAATAGTCACTATAGGCATCCAAGGGAACATGGCACACTGACTGGCACACTGTACACTTCATCGTCACTCTCTTCAATCCACTTCAGTGGCCCATGACATTCCGTTTCCAGCTGCCTCTGCCAGCTGTGCCTCCACGGGCACCGCCTGTGCCACCGGCGCCACCCGCGCCGGCGTGGCCGGCGCCGGCGTGGCCGAGACGACCGAAGCCTTGGAGGGCGGCCGGCGCAGCGGCGGATGGAAGGCGCCACGGCGGCGGAACTCCTCCAGCAGCTCATCCAAGCGAGTGAGGCCTAAAAGGCGCAGAAACACAGGGGGCAGGTGTTCCAAATCATGTGAAACTGTTGTTTTGAAATCATCACCCATTTTGCGTGGACATGTCAATTGTGGGAGGTGGAGAGTCCCAGCTTCCGGAGCAGAAACCCTATTCTTGGACTAGATGACCTGCAGCGTTCTGCATACTCATTTTATTGCTGTGGTCGAAATCATTTCTGTTGTTTCACGTCGTTTGTTGAGGTTCAGCACAATGTGAAGGTAGTCATGCTTGCACACGGGCTGCTAAAGCACCATTCTGCGGCCAAATTACTAAAGAACAGTTTGGCAAGTTATATAACAAAAATTCAAAGAACATGTGAACAATTCCAATGAAAAGGCGTCCAAAATCTTCCAAAGTTCTCCTAGCTCAAATGCTTGCGACATGACAATTGTGACAAGTCCACCAACCAGCGCCTGTGCCAAAGATTTCCACCAGTACTTGATGGCTCAAGGCCTTCAGATAAAGACCGGGTTCGAACAATTCTTCATCTCTAGGTTGATTAACCCACAAGGTTCTTCTGGTTCCTATGTCACGTCCTGTGAGAGCCCTTCCGCTGTGATCCCTCAAATGTGATGTTGCTCATTCTGATCCACTTCTCGTTCGATCCCATTCATCCCACACAGCGCCAAGCTTCGTTCGGTCAAGTCCATGAGCCTCTCCCCCAAGGACGTGGCCATCGACCGGGCCTTTGGACGACTCCCGTTCGACGCATCGCCCAGAATGGAGTCCAGCTTGGCGGAGACGGCCGAGACCTGAGCGTGGCGCAAACGACATAAAACAAGCAAAGGCAAATGAAGGTACATAGTCCACGGGTTGGTATTTGGATGTCAGGTGAACCCTGGCAAACGGCCACCAGGAGGTGTTTGCTCCGGGTCGCGACGTCGGGCGAGCAATGAAGGATGGTGAGGCAGTTGTGCTGTCTACATACTGTTGGGTTTAATGTTATGATGAGGGGACTGCTGGGACTGTTGAGTGCATGTTACATCAAAAAAATTGAAAAATGAGACGATGAGGCTCATCTTTGGGAAAACCTGACGGAGTTCTCTGGAGGGGGACAAAGTCATGGGCCTGACGAACTACGTATTTTGTCAGGCCCCAAGCTACGGTGGATCAAATGGACCATGCCGGCATGAAAACAATGCAACGTCCAATCCCTATAAATGTATCAAACACACAGACACTTAGAAGGAAGCTCGCAAGAGCATATTGCAGGTTCAATCCAGAGTGCATTCTGCATTAACCGACAAACCCTTGACCTCAAAAACAGACCTTACAGGTCAAAACTGTTTCTGCGTCACAGATATCTTTCGATAATATATATGTACGTAAATCAAAGGGTGAAAAACCTCCTGCTGTAGTATAGAGAAGCAAGGAAAAAAAACACCTGCTGTTAAGTGAGCGAAACGAAGGAAGCGCTCATAGCGGTAGTGACAAAGAAAGAGAACCGACAAACAAGTCTGCCGACGAACTCTGCCTCCAGTTTCCAGTTTGCGAGCAACGCAAGGGAATCGCAGTGAGAGTGAGAGTGAGAGTGAGAGTGCGAGTGAGGGTGAGTGAATGAGAGTGAGTGTGAGTGCATGTGTGAGTGAGAGTAAGAGTGAAGGTGGGTGCGAGTGAGTGTGGGTGAGAGTGAGTGAGTGTGAGTGCGAGTGTGAGTGAGAGTGAGATTGAGTGTGAGAGTGAGTGTGGGTGAGTGAGTGTGCGTGTGCGTGTGAGTGCAAGTGTGAGTGAGAGCGAGTGAGAGTCTGCGTGGGTGTGAGCGTGAGGAGTGTGAGTGTGAGAGTGGGAGAGTGAGTGGGAGAGTGAATGAGTGAGTGAGTGAGTGAGTGAGTGACTGACTGACTGACTGAGAGTGAGAGTGAGAGTGAGAGTGAGAGTGAGAGTGAGAGTGAGAGTGAGAGTGAGAGTGAGTGGGGGTGAGTGTGGGTGAGAATGAGTGTGAGTGAGAGTGAGTGCGAGTGAGAGTGGGAGAGTGAGTGCGAGCGCGAGTGTGAGTGAGAGTGGGAGTGTCACCAAGCGCCCAAGCGCTGTGCCTGCCACGAAATCTGCACTTCGAGGTTCACCAAGTGCTGCGCCTGCCACGAACTCTGCACTTCGAGGTTCACCAAGTGCTGCACCTGCCACGAAATCTGCACATCGAGGGTCACAGAATGCTGTGCCTGCCACGAAATCTGCAAACGAGCCACAGAAAAGTGCATTTCGAAGCAAGACAGCTCCGATCCCTTGCGCCTGTCACGAAAAGTCGACTTTGGAGCACCAAAACACGAGGTTTCCCTTGCACCTGCCACGAAAAATGACCACCGTGTACCAAAATGCGCACGGCGCCACAACGAGAACGCAGTCGCAGAAGCACCCGCCGCCGGCAGGCAGATTTTGCGAGCCTGCGCGTACTGTAAATAGATGTAAATAGCAGCGAATTGGCCGGAGACGCCCGCGGGGAACAGCGATCTAAGTACACCTGCTTTTCACTTACCGTAAGAACCCCTCACTGTGCCCACACTGTTTGAAAAAAGGAAAAGAAAAAGCAAAACGAAGAGGGCAAGAGAGAAAGATAGGTGAGAGAGAGAGAGAGAGAAAAAAACACACAGAAAGAGCCAAACGAAGAGGGCAAGAAAGAAAAATAGGAGTAGTATCGTGCATGTCTGCCGCACGAGCGGCAAATTACGGGGTCAAAGCCTGATTAGCCACCTAACAAGCCTTAGAAAAGAAATAAAAATACAGAAAGAGCAAAACGAAAAGGGCAAGAGGGAAAGATAGGAGTAGCGAAAAAGGTTTTGACTACTTAGCACTTGGCTACTTAGCCCTTGACTTAAAAAGAAACCTCATTACAAACTTAAAAAGCCTCTAGCGGAAAGGCAGACCTAGAAAGAAAAACGAGCAGGCAAGAGAGAAAGAAACAAAACCTGAGGGGCAGGGAAAGAAGCCAAAAGAACCACCTAACGAGCCTGAAAGAACACCTAAAAAACGAAGAAAGCGCAAGAGAGAAAGCGGGGGCTGCGTGTGTGTGTGTGTACATGGGTGTGTAAGCCGTAAGCCCGGCGGCATTAATTCCGTTAGCTCGGCAGCTTTGTTATCAGTTGATTCATGGGTGAAACAAATCAATCCAACGCTGAGTCGATATGGAAATCACGATGGCTTCGGCGCCCCTGTGACGGGGATCACACTACGCACCCAAGTGGGAAAGCGCAGCAAGACACACTTAGTCAAAGTTTCATCCAGTATCATAATCCACGGAAAGGAATGAGGGAACGGAAAGGTGCAAAGTCAGCTCACTTGAAATGTTGAACATTGGTTGGACTGCACGACAACGTCAGAGGCTCAGCGGTGGCAAGGCTGCAGAAACGGTCTCTTGAAAAGAAAGGTTTTGGGGACTATCATGAAAGGACCATGGAAACAAAAGACAGCGGGAGGAGGTCAACAGTTCAAAATTCAGCAGGTACGTGGATATGGCGTCCCATTTCCATATCCTCGGATACATTGCCAGCTTCGTTGACCGACGATGTATCCTGCCTGGTCCCCTGCATGTTTGAATTCAGACATGCCTGAAAACCCTTGGGGACAGGGGTTGACACACACACACACACAGAGACAAAAGAAAATCACACACACACACATCCTCAAAGCCGCCTCAAACATCCTCACGCGCAAAACACCCGTGCAGAACCGCCCGGTCTCCAAACGCCGGGCCTTCTCCAGCAAGGCTTGGCCAATGGGCCCCGAGCTCGTCACCGCCACCCCGCCCAGCGTGGCGGACGCGGCAGGCCCCGCCGGTGCGGGCGCGGTATGAAGACTTCGCCGCAGCGGGCGGCCACCGGGCACGGCGTGCGCCACGCCACCGTCCAGGGCCAAAGCAAAGCGCGAAGGCAGCGTGGCGCGCATGATGTTCTTTGTTTTTTTGGGGGGGGGATGTTGTGGGTGCTGCAACATGAGGACTTTAAGGTGTTTTCTCATGTTTTCTCAAGGTGCTGGTGAGATGTTTGCTGGTTAGTTTTCATATCAAAAAGAGATATGCATGGTTTTTGGATGTGATTCTTGCTCGTCACGCAAGTGCTTAGCTAGAAAGGTGCCTATATAGATGGAATCCAAGGGTCTGATGGCTCTAAGTCTTCCTATTGGTGGACACTTTGTGCCATGTTGAGTGGCTGGAAGGTGGCTCAACAGGCCATATATCTCAAGTTGGCGTCTTGATGTTGCCAGTACAACAAAGGAACATCAATTCATCCACTTGACAGTTGAGTGAGGGGAGTCTATGTTGCTGCTTGTTGGCCAAAAACATGTTGGGTCCGCCTATAGCTGTCCAATGAGAGATCCCCTTCTCACGACGCGACGCGATGCTCAGCGTCCGACGCGAAGCGAAAACACGGCTGAGATGGCGTCCATGTTCCAAGAAGGACCAGTGAAAGAGCCCATTGAAACTGGGCTTCCATCGAGAGGGGACTTCAAACATGTTGCCTGCCTTAGGGGCTCTGTTCCATGACTTATTTGCAGTAATTACATCCACTTCTCGGAGAGATCAAGCTTAAAAAGGCTCAACCAAAACCGCAGCCTCTCAACACAGCAACTTCCGGCCTGCGAAGAAGCCACACCCTTTCACAGTCTACTGCCTACTCTGGACCCACATGGCTGTGGGTCAAAACCCGGGCACCCTGGTCGACCACCGAAAATGAACAGATTCCTCTGTAAGGGGTGTCAACCTACCACGGCTTGGTAGGGGAGGTTTTGACCCACAGCATCCAACAACGAACTCTTCATGCCTTGGAACTGACATGTCCATCTCCACCCCGGTACTACCGCAGTCCTCTCCAGTGGCCCAAAATCCCAACCCCCCCAGGGCGCTCCCGGCAGCGTTGGGATCAACGTGATGCCGGCCAGCGTGGGTTCCCCTGAGGAGGGCGAAAGAAGACCGACGCGAAAGCAGGGAATTGGCCCAGGACGAGGGCCGTGACGAGGGAACAGCAAAAGGGCCACCACCAGCACCAGCACCAGCAGCAGCAGCAGCAGCACCAGCAGCAGCCAGCAGCCAGCAGCCAGCAGCCAGCAGCAAGCAGCAAGCAGCAAGCAACAAGCAGCAAGCAGCAAGCAACAAGCAACAAGCAACAAGCAACAACCACAACAACAGCAACAGCAACCAGCAACAAGCAACAAGCAACAAGCAACAAACACAACAACAACCACAACAACAACAACACCAACACCAACAGCAACAGCAACGGCAGCAACGGCAGCAACGGCAGCAACGGCAACAGCAACAACGGCAACAACGGCAACAAGCAACAACCACCAACAACCAACAACAACCACAACAACAACATACTTGCAATCTTCCCAGTAGTTGTTTTAAAGCTGGACGCTCTTGTTGTGCTCACTGCAGCAATCTCAGACTCTCTTCATCTTGGCGCCCGATTCCAGCCCTCCGTGCCTGTTGTTCGCCCAGCGGCAACCCCAAAGAGACCTCGGTTGGGGTGGGACCAAAAAGACCTCGGTTGTCATGTCCCAAGCACTCGATGATGTATCCCAAACACGACCTGTCTGGGACTGCCAGTCCGGACGAATCCGATCAGTTGGGGGTTGAAAGGGTGTCAATTGATTGCAATGGGACTGGAAGTCCCACAGAGTGTTTATAATGGGTGCATTGGCATGTACATGATTTGGCATGTACAATCCGGTCCAACAGCCAACGTCAGACATGGAGAAGGGATCCCTTCTATAGCCTAGACTCTTCTAGAATAGGCTTGATCGAGGAATCCAAACGTTCGCTCCGGGCTAATCATGAAAGTGGAACGTTTATGAAAATGGCCCCAGGAATGACCGTTTCCTCCATACACATAGGGGTTGTCCACTTCGATGTTTGTTGGAAGGAGGGGGAGTATGTGCAAGTCATGCCAGTACAAACTTCAAGCTCCAATGTCCTTAACGCCCGTCATCCTTACGCATTGATGCTAAGAACACAGTTCTCAGTTCAAAGGGCCGAGGTTATGCCCGTTCAGCCTTTTGAACACCTCCACTCTTTCCGAGCTGCCATTCTCCGTGGCCAATTTCACCAGCTCATGTCCTCACTGGTTGGGTGTCACGTCGGGTGCCACCTTTCACCTCACCTCAAACGGCGGTATTGCATGTGGGAAAACAAGATGTTTTTGAACTGTAGTTTCTGACCAGGAGTCACATGGAGTTGGGTGGTTTTTGGTCCCCAAGTGAGTGGAGTAGCTGGGGACCCCTATCCTCCAAACTCGGCACCCCAACCTGTGACTCCTGGGAAGCGGACTTTGTTCATCATCTTCTAACCCTGTGCTGACCCTTTTGCTGCTTGGACGGCCACAGAGGCGCTGGGGAACCGCCACCCGAAAGTACCCCCAATGAGTTTACAGGGACCCGTCAGGTCATGTCGGGTACATCGAACTGATTGCGGGGTCCGTCAGAAAAAAGACACCGTGTGTGACACGCCATCCAAAGGTTCTCGGAAAAGAACCCCTGGGCCGTCTCGTACCTTCAAGAGGTTCTAAGAAGTCCTCACCAGTCTTTCAGACTCTTTCACAAGTCCACCTCGTCCTCTCTGGTCCAAATAAAAGAGGACACCTCAAGAGCATCTGGCAAACCTGTGGGATCCTGTGGGTAACGCTACGGCTACACCGTACAACCCAAGCTATCCAAAGCTCGTTATGTGAGATCATTCTGATATCGGTGATTTGGACTATTAAAGGGTCAAAAGAAATCCACAGTTTCTCGCTACTAGCGGAGGGCCCTACTAGGAACAAGAAGCTAGCCGTACTACAAGGAGCAAAGGACGCTACTAGTAGCAAGAATGCTTGCTAAACACCTTTCGTCATCCCCCATGTCTACTGTCTCTGCAGCCCTTTGTGTCGTCACTTCGCTGCAACTTGGCTGTGGGGTTGCTCGGCTCCGACCGGTTTGTCCCTACTACCGCTTGGTCCGGGAAACGCTCCCGTGGTCCTTCGCCACATTTCGAGGCCATGCAGCTCTTGTGGCCACCTCCGGTTGTGAACAGGAGGGACTCCTGTCATCCATTCCTTCTTGGTCCCATCAGTTTTCCATGTGGAACACAAATGGGCAGTGTGACTAGCATCTTGAGGCTAAGTTGCTTGATCCCCTTTTCCGATGTTTTGTTAACTTTCCCCCTGAAGTCTTGGTGTAGTATACAGTATGCTGCTTGGGCTTCATGGCGTCCAAAGTGCAGCTTTGTCAGGCAAAATTGCCCAACACTTACATGTCACCTAAGAAGATCCAAGAAGTCTCACCTCAAAGCATGTCCCATCCATGTCTCCGACATAGTCATAGTCATAGTCAAATCCGACAGGTCTGCCTCTCCCACAAGTCTCACCACGTCTCTCACCATGTCTCTTCACCTCTTCGTTTCATCTGGTTTCATCCACCTACTCCACCGCCCAAAAAAGCCATCTGCTCCACCTGCTCCACCACCAAAACCACCCCTCCCGAGCCACCACGCGACGCAACGCGACTCACCTGCCAACACGACGGCGCTGGCGGCCAAGAGGGCGCCCAAGGCCAACAGCAACGGAGGCGCCTCCGGTGACGGCGCGGATCCCACGAGCGGTTTGCGGGACGCGCCGTGGGCACCAGGTGGGTTCCTTTTTGGGCAGTTAGAGCAGGGAAGCTAGTCAGGTGGTCAAGCAACAAAAGAAACATTCAGCAAAAGGAAGTGGAACAGTGAAGGTCTGCGACACAAGAACCACCTCCCTCAAGTTTTTGGGTTCATTTCTAGCTTGGAAGCATGTCCGTAGCCACTCCAACTCTCTTTCATCACCTCTGCTCCAAGTTGATGAACAGCTTATTGTCGAAACCAGCCACACACAGAGTCGCAGCGCAACAAAGCCTGCTCCAGGAAGTGCAAAGAGACAGGCTGGACCTGTAGCGTCGGAGAGTAGAGTGAGTTTGAAGAACATGTCCATTCACCACCTCTTAGTGGACGGTCCTCGCTCGCTCGGCCTGTGGCTCCGTGCTAGACCACGCAGATCGACGATTTGGGGCCACGAAAGGGTCGCCCAGTCTCCCAAGGCATGCCGACCACTCTGGGGTCCGGGGATGGGCCAAGTTGAGAAGGACCGAGGCCGAAGCGTTGGACATCTGTCGCCGCGCGTTGGAGGCGGGCACCACGTTGGCCGCCTCCAACTCCACCGACTTCCGACCAACCCACCGGGTCGTCGGCGAAGCGAGACCGAGGCCAGTGGAGCTCCGGGCTTCCCAGAGTAGAACACGTGATGGTTTTTTGGTACATGAAGGCCCAAGGCTATATGGTGTCCATCTTGGCCAAACCTTTCCAGAACTTCCCATTGAAACCTCCTAAATCAGACGGTTTGTTCCAGAAATTTCCATGCAGCGAACGAGCCACTGGTCGAGCCACAAACACCTGATGTTCCAAACTTTTTCACATCCCTACCGACCTTGGGCCGCTTCACATCTGGCATGGACGCCTCAAATGGAGAGCGAGACAGCAGGGCTTCCAGGCTGCCAGAAAATTGATCTACACAAATTGCCTGGAACGGTCATCAATGATTGGCTGCAATAATGTTGACCTCCTATTTGTAAATGGCCCGTGAATAGTACTAAATCTTTTCAAAAACCAATATTAAATGGCCCTCAAATAGTACTAAATGTTTTCTGGACCTTGATTTTCAGCTGCTTCCAGACCTTGATTCATCCAAGCTGATTCTGAGCTTTCAGCTGATTCCAAAACCTGATTATGTTGTGGTTTCCTTTGCTCTGGAATTTTGATTTGGCTGCTGCATGTTCCTTTAAAAAATGCTTATTTGGGCATTGCAATTTCCAACCTGAAATCAACCCACAA